CGTCTGACAAAATTTGGCTGCGAGTAAAAGCTGTCATTGCCACTGATTGCCCAGTGGTCAAAAGATTTGCTACTGAAACTTATTAAGTAGAGCAAATCGTTTTACCTACCTGTCGACCGACATGGTTGTTGTGCAAATTGGTGAGCCCCAGTTTGGGGTTTCGTTGCACACGTCCCTTTTCGCGTGAATCAAGGAATTTTCTTGAGAATGCCGCACCAAAATGGATATTATCGGAGCAGCCAGACCATTCAAAGTTTGGCTGTCTCTCGTGGTCGTAGATGGTGCGATCGCAACCGCAGCTGTCGTGCATGCCCGAGCTACAGGCCTTCGTCACTGCGTGTGATATGCCTGCTGAAGTAACTGCCAAAACGTAGGCGGATTCTCGTGTTCCTATAGTAAAATACCGTACAATCTTTCTAAACATCAATTACTGAATTATAAAGGTGTGCGTGCAATTATTTTTACCTGTGATGTTATGTCCCTTCACTACCAAGGACTGATAAGTTTCCGCCTTTTAAAATTGCTGAAAGGTAGTTCGACCCATCCCCTCAAGCCTGCACATATCCAAAATGCAGCGGAACGAAGTGGGTGTTTGTGCTAATCATCACGCCACTCCAATAGGAGGTCATTTTTTATCGTAATTTGAGCACATTGTTTATTTGCCGTCCGTCTCTGTCCGCTTGGAAATTTGGTGAGTTAAGCAACCAGCCTGACCTGTATCAGGTTGGCTCTCCAAAAGTGTCCTAATAAACGCTTGTGCACGTTTTCAGTAGGAGGCATATGCTAACAAATATTAAGTCAGTGAACTTTATGGAGATGCATGGTACAGAATGTCATGACATTTAACATCAGAAATTACAAAATTATCTCACTTTTCTATCGACACTTAAAATATGGAATAGTTGGTTGGTTTAATGATAGTATTAGGTTACACGTAACCGAGCCACGCCGTCTTTTGGAGGGATAGTGGAGAAGTTAAACGTGTGTCAGGAAATTGGAGTAAAAAAGTTTAGTGTTGTTGTTTTCAGCAAAAGTTATATCTGTAATGACATGTGAACCTTTCGTCGAACACAGCACTCTAGATTGCAAGTTAGATTGGGTGTCAACACAAGGTTATTAGCAAAATGATGGGAAATCTGTCGAGTTTATGAATAGCGCCCATCACTTATGTCTACATCCATAACACGTTTCGTTTACTGGAGCTGTGGATACGGTTAGTAATTGCAGGCCTGTTAGCGTTTAGCGTTAGGTAGATTGTGCATTTTCAGCAGCCAAAAGCCTTGCGCATCAGAACTCCCAGAACAGGGGTTCCAGCAACGTCGGTGTCCGCCACTGGTGACCACCAAAAATCCTGAGATTACTTAAATGAAGGCAGCCGAATGAACGCAGCGAGCCATTTTAAATACTCTGTCCTTACTACGAGGCTACTGAGAATCCAATTTGTCTATTAACAAGTCGAAAACGGCTTATGTAAATCACATTCTTTAAATCTGTTAGTGAAATACTAAAACTAGATTGCAACTATTTAAATTTGGCGTTCAGTAAAGACTTGATCTTATGGAGTGCGCGATGCTGGAAGCATCAACGACACACGCACACAATACAACTAATGCTGCTTACATAGAGTGATAAATTTTTACTTCATCACCGGCACTTAGACCAACCCTTTTGGATTACTGTTGACCACCACGCCAAGGAATCGACATTACTCTCATGGTGATAAGCATAAAATCAAGTTGTATGTAGAGTTTGGTACAAATTCCAAGGCAAGTTCAGTTTGTCAGCAGATTTTAAACAACCGAAAGATAAAAGGTGTGGCCCGTGGACCGGTACCTTTGAAGTCATTTCTTGCCTCATTTTCATTAACCAAAGGTGCTAGAGCATTGATGACTACCCACTCAGAGGTAGTGCAGAGCTAGCAGTGGTCGACTATTTGCCTCCCTACTGCCAATATATGGAGAGTATCCTGTAGGCTTCTGCTCCGAATTTTGACAGACTGGCCACGCTGACCGCTTGACGTGGGGCATTCGAAGTGATGATCGTAAGCACGTCTGTAAATGTAGTCTTGAGGTACATGATCAAGGAAGGCATCCACACCCCTCGTCCAACGCCTGTCCAATATGTGGTCTAGCCACTGAGAGGCCTTCTTGAGACGCAGCCCACAAGTGACCACTTTGTTGTTGTCGAATGTGTCGGTGTTTTGACGGTAGCCGCTATCCTCCGGTTAGGACGACAACGACGGCGACAGGAGTTGTGGGATTCGTGGGGCTGTGGAATGAGTCACATTTCGCCAACGGCCCTGAATTTAGCTCCCTTATTTCTGCCCTCCATCATACTCTAGCACTATTCGACGCGAATATACTGCCGGTGGTTAGAACATGAAGGCATGATGGCTAATGTCCGAGTGCTGAAGAGCAGCTCTCGTCTTGAGCATCCAATCTGACTGAACAAAGATGTCATTAGCGATTAAGGTGTTTCAGCCGACTCACCCTCTTACAGGGCTGAGTACATATGACAGTGAAAATGGTTGCATTTTCTCCTTTTACGAACAGAGTAGTGGACTTTTATGCACTACAATGCGTGTTTACTTTCCTAGCTCAGGGGTTGTTGCACCTTTTTAGAGTCGTGAATAGCGGATGCATTGCTAAAGCAAAAATCCGTGGTAAATTGCGAAGTCCAAAAGTTCCTTCACAAACCGGCTAGCTTATCTTTCTCTTGATTATTCGTGAAGAGCAGTTGAAGGCTCGGTCTGCTTGTGCGTTCATCATTTCCAAGCCAAATCTGTCTGTGCCGTTTTACCATTCATATCTATCTTCGACAACTGCTCCAAAATCCGATCCTTTGGCAACTCAAATCGTAATAAATGCAGAGGTTGCGAGTTTTACGGGTTTTAGAGCTATTTCAATACATTACCTGCTAAAATGCATTTCATTTTAAGGAATTGAATTACTATCACCGAAGTCATTAAACTGAGAGCACATGTTCAGTGTGAAACCTTCTTTTAGTTGCTGGTGCGGCGAATGGAGACACTATTGTTGCATTAAGAATCTCTACCTCATGGCTGAAAAATTGATTGCCTGGCTAATAGAGAGAGCCTCTGTAATCTCACACTCTCACCTCTTCTCTGTCCTGGATAAAGACAAATGCTTTTGCAGAGCGCGGTCCATCTAATCCCTGTTTGAAGAGCTCATAGTTGTTGCAGAAATTGGTGGAGCTACTTTCTACAAAACAGTTCCCAAGGCCACGTCTAAGATGCTATTTCCCAATAGTGCTCCTGAAGGGCGCAATTTGCTAGTGCACTTCTACCGATCGCTACAGTGTGCCTATTTTATGAAATGGGTTTTGAATTTCTCCCTCCACATCCGCCCTAAAATTCATACCTGAACCAAATCTTTTTGAGAATACGAAAAAGGGATCGCGTAGGAAGTAGATGCGAATTGGTGCGAGGACAAAAATGCCGTAGAAAGCAATTAATCATGGACAAGTGTGCAGGCGCTTTTGTAAGCGCGGATGTTTTCGACGACTTGCTTGTCATGAGGGCGTAAACAGGGCGCACCAGTGCTTCTTCATTAGGTGGGGCAGGGCCAAAACTCTTCTTAGTCATGTTGGCGACCAAACATTCAACTAAATACAGTACTATTCGTAGAAGAATTTGGCATTGGAAAGGAACTGCTAAATTGTGCACATATGCTGGAGGAGAACCTGTTAATATTACCCCAGTCAAATCATCATTGAGACGGCTCAAGGTCGTTCGTCCCATACCTGTCGAATGCCTTATTTATGACACACAAAACTGCCTGTAATGCAGCATAGCCGCTGGGTGGTTTAGATTGAGTCGCGCCAGTTTTCACCAACTCGCACACGAGACTTCACCACCTTCGATTCAATTATTAAAAATATTGTGGTCCAAATAAACGACCAAGTGATGGAAAACACGGATTAGGGAGGTAAGCACAAACTTTATTCAGTAATTCTTCCATAATCCTATTAGTTTTAAGGATCTTTGAAAGGCTTGGTTTTGTGCATAGATGGATAAAAGAAGTTAATTCATTTTTTATGAGCAAAGCTGAACGATGCAACTGTCTCCTCCTTGAACAAGCTGAATTGTAAAAATTAGTATTCAAACGGATCGGTATTCCTGTGATCGTAGTCACGAGCAATGTTTTCAGTTGAAGACTGTCAACGAATTTCGCAAAGTTCATTAGAGATTTTATTTGGTTGATTGTACATCTGCATTCAGGTGAGGAGTTTAGGTTACCAGTCGGTGGCAAAGTGGCTGACTTGGCGATTTATTTGCTGATTGAACCGGTTCGCATGACAAGGGGCGAAAAATGTTTACAACTCCTTGAGTGGGTTTGCCTTTAATTCCATCTTAAAATGCTAATGAAAATTTTAAGTTTAATTTAAGGAAGTTGGCATCGAATCGGTTAAAGAGAAAATGACGGCAGTCACCGAGTTGTTTCATGCTCTACTCAGGTAGGGTTTCTACGACTCATTCATCTTAAAGGAAGTGAATTTAACTTGCGCCAATCCAGCCTTCTTTCTTTAGCCGATCTCAAGGTAAGAGAACCAGGCGCCTCCTTGCATGGGGTAAAATCGTGTTAAATTTTGACAGAAATAGAACACCGCCAGTCAAGAGAAGTTGAAGAAGTCTACTCTATTTCTAGGCTAACCAACTTACTCAGCACGGAAGGCAAATGTAGTTGTGCAACAATAAATCACCGATATGGGTGTGCTTATTTAGAAAAGCGATTAAAGACTTTCAAGGTTGTTTTTTTTAAGGATATTTTTGCTAATTCTCCTCAAACTTCGTCCTCAACAAATGAGTTTAATCAAATGATGCATTTTAAACCGATCGCAATGACACAAGGGGTTCTAAATTTCTGAAACTTAAACCTTGAAATGGTCTTTGTAACGATATTGAAGGTGAAGTCGACTGTGAATCGTGTACTAGAAGTCTGACTTTAAGTGATCATTACTGAAGAGGATGAATGAAGCCAGAGTGTGGACTCGGAGCGAGTTGGGGTGAAGAATCGAGAAGAGCCGAAGGAGTTGGGTAGGGCCATTACATACCTGTGCCAGTGCGCACTAAAACGACATTTTGTGGCCACTCTCGCATCCCCGCCTCCTCGATGTAAACAACCGGCTATCAGAAAAATGGCTTCTCAAATGCATCCATACGCACCGCTCCTCCATTGTTGAACTCAGCAGTTAAAATTGCGTTTAGCCCAAAAAATGAACAACCGTGATTGATGCAGAGAAGTCGAGGGCAACTGCTCGGAAATAATTTCCTTCGTTCAGTGTAAAAAAACTTTGCCACGAAATCCTTTCCTGCGCCTTAGACCCTACACTATGTGACGGAACTTATCAAGCAAACATTCCATTTACTTAACACAGGTTGCGGTTGCACAGGGCTTAGTAACT